CATAACTTGAACAAGTACAGCCAAAATAATTGTTGATTGCAAAAACAAAAAAAGTTCCCGAAAATTTTGCCTTATCAAACAATATGTTGGCAATTTGAAAACACTCAAAAAAGGCTAAGCTAAAGTATTTATATTTTAAATGAATTAGATGATTGAAAAGAATTGATTAATTTAGATGCGAGTTTACTTCATAAGTTTGTTCAATTTGTTCACTTTGCAGGAATTGAGATTGATGGCAGGAATTGAGATTGATGGAAGGAATTGAGATCGAAGTTTGGTTACAGGAATCGGGATCAAAGTTGGGTTACAGGAATTGGAATCCAAGTTTGGTTACAGGAATCGGGATCGAAGTAGGGTTAAAGGAACTGAGATCGAAGGTGGTGACAGGAATCGGGATTGAAGTTGGGTTGGGAATTGGGATCGAAGTTGGGTTACAGTAAGATCGAAGTTGGTGACAGGAATTGAGACTGGTACTGATCAACGTAGCTGAGATTGAACATGTTGGTGAACACTTAGTAAATAAAAGGTATAATTTAAAACATTACCTCATAGAAACAAATATGTAAATAGAATCCGCAAACAAAATGCGGATTTCACTTACAACTTGTGGAATCAACTTACAATTTGCGAATCTTATTTACAATTTGCGGATTCCACTTACAATTTGCGGATTCCGCAACAGCTCAGTTTAACGATACAAATGTCTTATCATTTGTTTGTGGATTCCACAAACTGTTCTGGATTCGGCAAATACAGTTACAAATTCTGCAAATTCGCTAATTTTTGGAGCGATTCTGAGAGGTACAATGATTAAGGTATTTGTTTGTGGAATCCAAAACAGTACAGAAGATCAAAAAGTAGCAATGTTGAGGATTCCGCGACTAATCTGATTTTGGCTTGTTGCAGATTCCGCCTACAAAGCAGAGAATGCACAGTTTGGCCTCGTAATGTTGTATGCTAATTTATATATACGTCCATCAAGATTGATTTCTGAGGTTTGTAATTTTTCTGAGAAAAATTTGGTATAGTGTTTTTCACAATTGCGAACTCGTTTTACTAAAGATTGCAATCTCACAAAAAATTAATAAGTGTTTTCTTTAGCCGATACAGATTTTTGAACTTAAAGCTAAAACCAAAAAAGCGAAGTTTTGAAAAATATATTTTTTCTTGCCCAAATATGCTGATTAAATTTTTTTTCTAAGTTCCGATGAGAAAAAGAAAAGGATCTTGCTTTTGTTAAGCTTCCTAAGATTTTGGTAGTTTTCTTGTGATTCAGAAAAATTACAAATAAAAAAACTGCACCGGGTTCAATTTTAATATCAGAAATTACAAAAAAATATGGTAACTAACAGAATATATTAATATCGAATACTGATAGAGCTGGAGTTATCGATGGATTCTTACAATTTTTTAGTTAAACATCACAAATGAAACGCATAGGAACTATGCATAGAAAATATTCTGAATCAAAAATTTCTACAATTGAGTTATTGCAAGCAATTGTCCCAAAAAACTTTTTCGGACTGGTTTTTTAACACTGATCCGGGATATTTCACAGTTTTGATCGTTTTTTAAACTTGCTTCGGTAATTTTGTTTTTATTGTTTCAAACCTGCACTACTTAACTTTAAGAAGGGTAGGGACAAAGTAAAAGGAAGAGCCTATTTTTTTGCTTAATTTTTGGGATTTCCAGAAAACCTCGCAAGTATCGAGCGTGGTATCATTTTAAAGCCCAGCTCGTTGATCTTTGCGTTTTTACAAAAAATGATTTTAAAAATATCGCGGACTTCTACAACCCAAAGTGTCCCCCTTTGGCATCATTTTACCATCTCCACTTTCGGCCAACGGACTCTAAATTTTTGTTTAATGGCGTTTTTGACACCGGGTTATTCTTATTTTGAGGGAGAGCGCGCGTCAAAATTAACGCGGTCAAAACTTTCCAAAAAGATTTAAAAACGTTGTTTTTTTACTATGCCTGCTAAGATTTTGTTTGTGGTGTAGAGGGCATAATATAATCCTAAAAGGTGTTTAAATGTTTTGTATTGTATTACGTAACGTCATCAAGGTCAACGTTAGAGTTAGCGTTCAACATGCGTAGAGAAAGTGGCTGGCGTTGCGTTTAATAAAAAATATTGATTCTCTTACGTTTTACTTCTAAGTTTTATAATTCAGTAGTGCGCACGCAAAATTTCACATAGCGCATTCAAAAACGGATATGGCCTATCGCGGACTTGAAGTTTTCTGGCACCGTCCCTCGCAGGAACCCCCGGTATCGCTGGAGGATTGGATTCAAAAATTCCAACTAATCGTCATAGCAAAGGAAGAAACTGACATAGAAGATTTGTTACAAGTTAATGTATTGCCAGACAACCCCCATCCGACCCGGAGGAGCCACCAGGAACAGAGGACCAAAGGCGAAAAGGGAATGAGAGACGAGAAAGACCGCGGGAATAACGCTATGGCGAGAAGAGGAGCAACGGAGGGCGGAAGATGAACGGAGTATATTCTAGGGATCGACCCGGGGTGAAGACGACAAACGTCTAAAATTGAAGCTATTTTTGTCTTTGGGCAAACAGGGCAGATATATATCAATCAAAAACACCCACACCGGAAGATTGTGAATATTACTTTCGTTGAGTTGTGGAAATGATCGATGAATACTTTTCAAAAAGAAATGAATGGTACTAATAAGTAATTTGCATTTTTCGGACGGAATCGAGAGTACATGACATTTTCTTTTTCAACATGAAAAACGAAGAAGGGAAAAAACAGTTGTGCATAGAAATATTGAGTCCCGCGGATCCTTTATGCTTTAAAGTCTACTCTAACCAGAAAGAGGGGCGAACTCATGTATAAGAGAGTTAGTGGATGATTGCGAAAGTTTGGAAGGAATAGATTTAACAACGGTTGACCAAACAATTCCGTTTCCAATAATACAAGACAAAATGGGAGTTAAGTTAACGGGTACCAACTAATGGTGTCGTGAGGTGCTAGACAAATGTCATAAATGTGGAAACCCGCTAAAACCAAACCACAGAGAATTCTGTGAAGCAGAAAATACAATCTGTGACAATTGCATTTGCCGGGGGCAATTCGCGAAGTTTCGCAAGAAAATTTAAGTAAATCAAGTGGACGGATCGTAAGAGTTCACGCAATTTGAGATAAATGTCATTCGCAAATTCGAACAACAGGAAGAAGAAAAGTTTGGGATGTTTGTCATCAAGACAGTAAAGATCAATGGAGGAAAAGAGAACTGGAAAATGCTGGAAACAGAAATGGGACACAACCGTTGGCGGATAGAATTTCAAATTGATTGTGAAAACCCGGTAACGTTCATTTCTCAAACGAAATCACACAAATTGTAGATACAAGATCGGTTGATTGGCATTAGAACGATTCCTGAGGAAAATCAAATTGTTTTCTACAGCGGAACGGATGATGTAAATAAAAAATTTTCAAAATTGCGTGGACATTGAATCGGAAGGTTGAATAGCACGTGAAGCCGAGTTATCAATAAATGGCTTGCTCAAAGAAAGTCATATTGTAAAGATAAGTAAATGTACCGAAGACTGTTTCATCTTGCCTACGGTGTTAATGACTGAGCGAGACGGTTCAACAAAGTTGGCATTCAATTCTAAACTGACTAACAAGCAAATCTGTCGGAAGGGGAACGAAATGCCAAACATGAACGAGTTGGTAGATAATTCGGCAGTGGGAACACATCACATCCATATGGTTCTCGTACAACGATCTCAAGTACTCACAAATGGGGTTAACTGACACTACTAGCCGACAATGCAATTTCAGCATAATTGACGGTAACATCATCGGACCGCATCGTTTCAGGACCGGGTCTTACGGGTTAGGGGACATGCCTAACGAATTTCAAAGGGTTATGGATTCGATGGTGGACCATCTACCATGGGTACACGTGCGCTTGAATGATATCCTAATTGGAACGCGGGGGTCGGAGAGGCCATTGACAAGAGTTTGAAAAATGTTTGCAGGTGCTGAACGAAAATTAGCTGCCGTAAAATGGAGTAAGTGCACTATTTTGCCAAAGATATTGATTGGTTAGGTTTTCAATTATCTAATAAAGGTAAAGTGTCAGTGAAACGAAAATTGGACTAAATTGTCAATATGAAAGACCCAGAAAATACCATGGATCAATTAACTAAATCATTGGGTTTATTCAGAGCTATGCGGCTACAACAGAAACTTTGCAAGATCTAATGAAAATTCATTCGAGGTTTGAACGTGTAGGAAAACACGATGAAGCGTTTGAAACGATGAACAGTACAGTTAGTTATTCTGTGGAAAAAGATCATTCTGATGTGAAAAAAAACCACGTGGGAAGTGTGATGCGTCGAAATAGGGCCTAGGGGCTGCCCTTGAACAACTTCATCTCGATGGATGGAAACCTATTCCCTATGCTGTCCGGTTTTTTGCTGAAGCAGATTTAAAGTAAGACTTCAACGAATTGGAATTGCCAGCTTTTGTGCGGGCAAGGACTCATTATGAATATTATTTATTTGTGGCTCCCTTCAAGATAATTAAGGACCACAAGGCGTTATTAATGTGTTTGCCAAAAAAAGAAAAAACCAAAACAACACAAACAAGGTTAGTTTGGTGGGTCGATCGACTACTCTCATTCGATTTTGAAGTCGATCGTATTCCAGGTAAGAATTTGGGGTTGGTTGACTGAATATCTCGCCATCCCGTTGCTGAAGCTGCAAAAGTCTTGCTTTTAAACAATACCTTTGTTGCTGCGCAAATTAATGCAATTCATAGGTTAATAGTGCCGTCGGTAAACGGAAAAGCTTCAGCGCAAAAGCCGTCATATACAAAACAAAATTCAAACGCAAATTGCGTAATCGGAAAGAATGTGCAGCGAAAAAACTCATCGACACGATTGAGAGCTGTCATTTGATCAGAGTTTGCTTTCAAAATAATCATCGCCCGGAAAATTGCAAAAATTGTAAACTGAAAATTTTTTAAGAAATGACAGATAATTCTCATTCCGCGAATGAACCAGGGCCGGACGTCAGAGAAATACCATCGATTAACGTTCACGGAACGAATTCTATATGTCAGCCTTCGACTGATTCGCGTGTAATATCGGCGGAAACGTTCCCGTCAATTCTTTTTGATAGGCTTTTTTGAAAATATCTCTATATTAATGAAAGCGGATGAAATCATGAACTGCATTGTGGAAGCATTGTTGAGTAAAGATTACACAGTTAACAAAAACTTAGGCCCTACTTAAGCCATTTTGCGTCGAAATTCCATGCTTCCAACAAAATTTAGTTCCACCATAGCTACGGGCACCTATAATGGCACGGCTACACAGATGCCTTGCTCGTCTGCTCAAGATGCGCGATGTAACCAATAGTTACATATAGCCTATATGAATCGCCAAAATGAACTTACTGCGGCAAATTGCAAGGAGTGCATAAAGTTGGGTACGAAATTAAAGTGAGTTTTACCAAGTACGGACATTGCAAATTTAGATCCGATGGAGGAAACGACTCAGGAAATTCAAGAGCCCGTTGCCACAAAACTGGGCCCGTTGCCACAAAACTGGGGTACGAACAAGAATTTGTTAATTTGTGCTGATCGATTCTCGAAACTTGCAATGATTCAGGTAACCACTCGTACAACAGTGGCGGTTATTGAAAAGTTATGGAAAAAAATGTAACGCTACATGCAATACAGCGGTTAATTCGAATTGATCAAGTTTCAGGTTTTGTGCTAAATCAATATAAAAAAGTTTTGTACACAAAATGATATAGAACTAATTTTTGCGCACGTAGGGATGCATCGGGCCATGGGCCTAGTGAAACGTTGTGTCCGCACTTTTCGGAAAAGACGTTTGGCTTGATCATTCCAGAATTCTCAACCGGCTTTAAAACTTGTTCTGAAAAAAATCTTATACAAAAAAGGAGCAGCAATCCATCAGTCTATGGGGCGAATCCCGTTTGAAACATATTTCGGTTGAAAACCAAACACGATCTGGCACTCGGTTACACATAGCTCGTCGGTTCAAAAACTGTCATGGCAAAATGTGTTGATTTGGATAGATCGAAACAAGAAGATGTTCCATACAAAGATAATGCAAGACTACGGGATACCAGACGACGAGTCAACCATTGGCACGTTCGATCGTATCTAGTACCCGTTAATTTCGGGCATAGCGGTCCCTGGAATTCCAGCAATTAGAAATGTCGAAATTATACCACACAATGCTTCGATGTTATAGGCCCAGAAACAAGAGTGCAAAATATTTCAGAATAAAAAAGGTTGTATAAAATCGGAGCCTTACTTTGAACAACTCAAAGAAAAGTAAGTAGAGAGACAAATCTTACGATTACCTTGTTTTTGGGGAAAATTTAGAAAAAATTTGACCTCCCAATATATTTAGGTAGTCAGTCGGAAGCACCAGAGGCCTCGGAAGCACCTTGCCAAAAAGTGCGCCAATTGAGTCGAGCGGAAAGCAAGAGCGGGATGCTAGGAAAACGGCGGCGTCAAAAGGAACGGAGGTGAAGTCACCTCAAAAAATTTTTCCAATGGTCGTAGAAGTGCAAATTACTTAAGGCATCGCAGAGAACCCGATTAACATTGATAGTTCATCGGAAGGACTAACGTCACGGAGAGCCCAGTTGTGTATAGAACAATTTTAGCAGAGGAAATGAAGAGTAATACGGCTGGAAGACCATTGGCATCAGAGAGGTCGGCAGACCGCTTAAAAGCAGAAGGGGGAAGAAGCTAACCGAAGGCGAAACCTTCGGTAATTCAGCTGACCACCGGGAAAACTGTACCATACTCGAGTTTGGAAGATGTGAGTGTGGTGTGGAAAGAGAAATCCGTATAGCCCATCCGGATAGCCCATTGGTGCTATCATCAGAAGAGGAGGACCTGGAGTCACATTATATGGATAACCAGAAGCCACAATCCATGGGAGGATACGTATCATCGCCCAGAGAAATGCTGATAAAATTAAGAGAAGAAGGACCAAGCACACATTCACCCAGGCGGACAATCGACCAGCAGGAGGGGACTTTGGATACAACATCAAAGACAGTTGTAACACGACACATTATACCGCCATTTTGAGAAAAGAGGCCACAACATTTGTAAAAAAACGGTTTTTTACTAGTGCAATTGCCACCGGCACTAGTGAAGTAAATGCCATTAACACGCATCGAGACACATCGGACGAACAACCTGGAGAACCGTCAAAAACAACACCGAGTGTGGTGTTAAGAACGGTTAGCAGGACAAAAGGAGGGCTTTAATACTATGAAGGATCCACAACGAAAAAACCGATGACTTCAATCTCACCATTGAAAATATCCAGCCCAAAGAAGAGAAGCGCGGAGGACACTTATTTTGATAGAGAGACGTGTCGTTATTACGAATTTTGAAACATACAGCGGGGTTTCCTTAGTTACCAATTCCCAAGGCAATGTTAAAGACAGGTTCCTGTTACAATGCTTCTACCAAGGGCTGGAAGCAAGGACTAGGAACAGTAGGAAAAACTCAAATCTGGGCCAGCTCGTGGACCTTGCAAAAGCGGAAACACAGAGATTGTGCAATTGTGTTTTCCGATTTTTTGCTATTTTTCGTGAGAACTGCTGAAATACGTAAGAAACTGAAAAGTGGGGAGGTATTTTTTAGTAAAAACAACAAATTTGATGACGAATTAGGTGAAGAAGCGCAAATTGCACAATCTCAACCACGTTGTCAAAATAGTGTCTTTAAAGTGCTTTAAGATCTCGCAAAATCAATATCGTTGACATAAAAACATCAAAAAATTTGTTTTTGTTTCGTAAATCCGCCACGTCTCACTGAAAATTTTAGACCTAAGGCTGACATTTTCACTTATTTCTTCATCGGATTTGTTTTTTCTTACTAAATAATTCCTCGCCACTTTTCAGTTTTTTACGTATTTCAGTACTTGTCACAAAAAAAAACAGCATGAAAATTGAAAGACACAAACTGAATTCTTGTGAAAAAAACTCGAAAATTTAAATTTTTTTTCGACTAGATTTTTTTCTTAGACCGCTGAGATCGGAACATCCTGTAAATTTTGCAACGCATCTGATTTTTTTTACAATTTCATTAAAAACTACTAAAAACTAAATTTACTAAATACTAAACATGTCCTTTAAAATCTTTATTTCTTAGAGAATTGGCACCAATTACATGGTCCGACATCTTCATGATTATTGCACAATTAGTTGTTTCTATATTTTTTGATATATTTTTTAAAAACTTTTGGCCAGTTTTTTAACAAAAAATCCATAGTTTATGTTTGGTCAAAATGCAACTTTGTTTACTTGTAAACACAATCTCGCGTCTGTATGAATTTTGAAAAAATTTAGCTGGTCTTCGCTTTTGTCAAGATAAAAATTGTTTTTTTTTGTATAACGAAGACAAAAACTTCGCGTGCGTGAAACGAAGCGCTTCGAAAATTAGATATCGTTTTGTAAGAAAAAATTTTAAAAAGAAATTCTTTTTTCAATCCTTTTCTTGTTAATTCTGAATTCTTAACTGTGTCTTATAACAGACTCACAGCCCTGATTTCGTACATTATACCTTCGTTATTTTTGCAAAGTAAGCTCAAGAAGAAATCTAGTTAAAATGATGAAAAATACAATAACGGTAAATTATAACTATCAAGAAACGTTTTGAAATTTTTGGTTGTAATGAATGACAGCTAACTATTAATAATTATAATATATTTATTTATAATATATTGATATATAATATAATATATGATTATGAAAAACACTCCAACTAATTTAAGTTTTAATTGAGTTTTTTCGTACAATTAGTTGTCATACAATTTATCAGAGACGACTCAAAATTGACTGGTCTGATCTGATTCTATCAGTTTTTAAATTCATAAAAAAATCATGTTTATTTTATTAGAAACGTAGTGATTCTATGAAGTAGTAAAGCCCGTGAACAGTATTAGAAGTGGGTGATTGTTTTAAACAGCTGGAGGCGGGGACAATAACAACAAGGCCTCGGAGAAAAGAACGACAGCGACGGACAGTGTCCCTCCATGCACAGCTTCTACCAGGTAAAAAGAAATTCACTTGCACGCGAAATCAGGTTTGTTTTTTTGCCCTTTACTTCTCCATCTTTCGTTTTTTACTGTTGTTTTATGAGTTAGTATGGCTAAATGAGTGATTGTACGATGTAAGGTTGAAAAGTGTGTTCACAATAGTAAAATTGTTCCTCTGACCATTTTTCATTGAATTAAAACGACATTCAAGTATTTTTTCAAAACTGAAGTTGAAAGGTAGGGTAGTAGAAAAGAGCCCTCAAACTTGATGATGACTTGATGATGATGAAGAGTATACCAAGTTTTCAAACAATACTTAGCAACCCGCATCTAACCAGTGCATTTTGTGGTCACTTTGTACAAATAAATTATCCAGACTGAAACTGACTCCAGGTTTAGCCAGTTTCGCGGGTAAATCTCAATTTCTCTTCCTCTCCAGGGCAATCTATCAGATTCGGAGGCACTTGGTCGTCTTATTCAGCAGCCACTCATATAACCACCTCAAACCCTAGAACTTTCCGAGTGCCCTTCAAAGTCTAGTTTTTGTGTACGTTTTGTTTTAAACTAAAGTAATTACAAAAACATTGGAAATTTCAAAATGTTTTACTTATTTTACTCCCCCATACTTGTCATGCAAAGTTCAATAAAACGTGCGAATAAAAAATTTCTAACGTGCAAATAAGAAAAATTACCTCGTATCAGTTCAGTTTTCCATTGCCAATTTTTAACCGTATTGGTTTGCCTGTCATCATTTTCATCGGCGATAACTTTCAACTAACTTCATTTTTTTTACAAAAAAAAATTAAATTAGCCTTTTTTTTTCAGTTTTGAGCTACACGCCATTTTTATTTAATAGTGGGGTCAGTTTAAAAAAGATGAACAAAAAAGAAACAGATCCAGCTCAATCGTAGGTATCTGTATATCATTTTAACACGGTTCAAAAAATAGAAAGAAACTTCCAAATTTCGCCACAAAAGAGTAATCCTAAGAAAACAGATAATGGTTTCTTCCAGTCTTCATAAAGTTCTAAAAACGGTCAGACAAACTTAAAAAAAGCAAAATCTAGATTAGATTGTTTTTTTTGCGACTTCAGTCGGGACTAATAGTTTGAATGGTTGAATTGATCTTTCAAATGAAAAATTTTCAGGCAAAAACAAATTTTAATAAAAACTGAACCGGGCTGCTCAAATCAAGGCAACGCTTTGAATGTTCCGACTGCCTTTTAACTGGTCTGTAATTGTTTTTGATAAATTAAATTTCGCCCAAACTATCAATTTATTCTGATAACAACAAGTTTTGTATTTTAAAGTTTGAGTCCTGTATGAATTTAATAAGTCCAATTAGCCTCCCTCAATTCATTTTGAAATGGTTTTGTTATGAGGAATAATTGGCGACGCGTATATATTTTTTCAAGTTACACTTTTAAATCGTCTACAGCTTCAATTTACTCGTGTTAATATAGTGGTGTGAGAAACGGGCCCACGAGAAACGAGAGATAGATCTCACCGGAGAAAAATTCTTTTGAGAATTGGGCTGGAAAAATTTTAAATTTAAAAGCTTTGAATTTTTGTTTGCATTTTAAACTATCTATCTTGGTAGCAGAGAGATGAAGCAGTTTTTTTATTTTCACATTATTTCAGGAGATATACACAAAAGAGTTTAAGCGTGCTGTATTCCACTGCATCGTGACTTACAGCGGAGGAGTCGTAGGGAGATTTAAAAGGGAGAGGATAGAGGGGGAGGGTAGAGGAAAGAGGGGGAGGGGAGAAGGGATGGGTAGCGGGGAGGATGAGGAGGTTTTTATCCTGAATACCAAAAACCCTCAGAAGTTCTCGGCATGACCAACTCCATTTTTTCTAAAAGCACCTTCAGATACCATAAACCTAGCTCTTATTCGTCGGCAATCAATGAAAGTTAAATTTTTGCATCATTCAGCTTTTTTAACTACTGAGTTAAAACCGATGTGGTTAACTCATAGAGTAATTTCGGATAGGGTACACCGTCTGCTCGTCACGCTATCTTATTTTCGGCCGGATAGATTCGTGCAACTTCTTAGTCTAATACCGATCCTAATCTTACTCTTATACTTTCTAGTCTCAGGGTGTTTAACTAGTCTCTGCTCAATAGATCTAGGTTATACTGGTTTGTTGCGGCTGCTGAAGTTCTCTTGGAGAGGCAACTAATTTCTAAGTTAAATTCAAATCTCTCTGGTGCTGAAATTACAAGTAATTTCAGCATTTACAAATAAGTGGGTTGTTAGTTAGATGGATCATGATTGGTTAATATTAAATACTTTATCTAATTTATCCGATCTTAAAATATAGTTTAGATCAGGTTCCACCCATCCGGGTTTTATGGAGTTTTTTAGAATTATCTTTCTGCAATTCAAAGGATGGATGATGGACGTTGGTATTTGGCGAACATCGTACTCTGGTCCGGTTGCTCTTGTTAGAGAAGTTCCAGGACGCTGGAGTTAGGGACATCAATCGTTGTGTCTTCTTGTGACAACGACGGTGTTACCCAACGAAATCAATCTGATTTCAGAATGGTTTGCTATAACGGGTTTTTCTGTTTTATGTAGAGAACTTGTTTTGTGTTCGACCTCGTCTGGGAATGGCGTGGAGATTGTGCGTGGAGGGGATGCCTTGTAACTCGGATCTGTACGTATACTTGAACATCGAGTTGGTCATTGGTCTAGTTCAATGAAGTCCTTTTCTGCGAAGTCAAGTCGTACTCTAAATCCTTTGAGTTGTGATTGTGGACGGCATATTGGTTGTGGTTGGTCATTCTTTTTCGAGTGTAGTGGGGTCATGTTGTATGCTGATCTATATACTGCAAAGTATAATTTACATTTTATAAAATTTTTATTAGTTCAGTGTTTTAATTATGAATTTAGTTAGTTGTTTTCACAAAAGCATTTTGTTTTAGTTCGGTTATTTTGAAGAGTTACTCACCCTTGAGTACCTCTTATTAAAAATAGAAGTGTGGTCACAAAGCGTGGATGTAGCGCGGTGGGTTAGGCCGGCTATAGAGCATGCTCAGGACGTCCTCTCTGGTGGGTTAGGCCAGGAGTGGGAGTATGATTTCGTGCGGTTTCTTTGAGAGGTCCTGTTATGTGATAACGTTTTATGTTGGGTTTATGCTGGTCTTTCTTATGTTCCGTTGGTTGTGTCCTTTTTTCAAAAATCAAATTGTTTTTGTTATGGGTTTGTCTTTCGACTTTTTTGTGTTTTATTATTTCTTTCTTAGACTTTATATTAGTCTTCAAAAGAATAAATTATCCAGTTTTAAACTGGGTTAATCCGGTTTGGGTACCGTTGGTTTTCTTTTCTTAGTCATGCTGTTATTTTATGGTTTGTGGTGTTTAGTAAGCTGCGTTGGTTAGTTTGTTTTAGTATATAATTCCTTTCCAACCGGGTTAAAGGAAAGTTTGAAACTTGTTATTGTGTGTTAGAGTTGTTGAGTGTGAAAAGTTGAGACTGAAATTCATTGTTTAAACAATTCTTCGTGGGCGAGCTGTGCGAGTTTGGATAGAATTCCTGTGCGAGTGAATAAAAATATCAAAAGGTTAGTACTGCATTTTCATTTTATCGATTTACTACATAGAATTTTAATTTTACTGCTAGTTTTGGGGGAAAGCTAAGTTATAAATTTTCATCATTATGAAATTTACTGCTTTTGGGGAAACAATTTATAAATTAATTTACTACATTGGTATGAATTTTATTATATTTATCTAGTGCAAAATAGTAATAAAGTTTAGAAGAATTTTAACAAGTTTTATTTTTTTTTTCTGTTTTTTGCAGATGATCATGGGATGAAGACTAAAAATCTAAATGAAACATGAGTAAGGAATGGTTAGTATTAATTTAAATTTATTAGTGAAGAATATGTATAAATTACACTTACCTGTTAGTCGTCGGGGAAAAACCGTGGGGGAAGATGTCGTGTATCATGTCGGAATTTTTTCAAGTATGCGAATGATGTTTTTAGTTTGAAGCAGTGGCCAAAGCAATTGAAGTGCTTTAATAGTTTTTAGTTCTTCGGTGCCAACTGCAAACTCATAAGGTGTGTTTTGAATGAGATTATATATTTTGTGATTGTATTTAGTATTGTGGATGAATTCTAATATAGGGATTTCTATAGGTTGGATAAATTCATGTGGGATAAGGAAGGGTCTGGATTCTTCAGCATTAAAAGTCTTCGCGATGGGACAAAATATATACATTTGTGTTATTGGGTCATAATTGCGGAGGATGCCGTGGAGGTTAGTATCTTTGATGCAATATGTGAAATTTAGAAAAAATGGCGAAGTGTACTTTGAATTAAGAAATTGAAAACGGTGGTGTTGTTGTCTTGATGGAGTGTGTAGATCAAAATGATTTTGTATGAAGCGATAATATGTATATGTGTGGGTTTGTTTAGTGTGTAACATAAATTCGTGTGAGCAGTGCAAATTGCGTTCATGTGGTGCAAGGAAGTGGAAGGTTAGTGAAAATAATTGAAATTTTTCTTCAAAACTTTCGTAAGCTTGCATATCAGTTAGTGCTTCAGAAATGATGTGATCATATTTTCGATCAAATATTTTGAGTGTAAATACATATGGTGTTTTGATGAAAAATTTTTCTGTTAGTTGTGGGTTAGCGAAGCGGTCGTCATCTAAAAATTGATCTTGATTAGTTCGGATGATATTATGGTCGTAATATTCTAGTGTAAATTCGTTAGCTCGGGGTGCAGTGAATGTTTTTAGTGATTTTTTATATCCTATATAAGTAAATTGTCTATGTGTTAGTGGTGTGGTGAGTCGATATAGCATATCTTTATTCCTTTCTATATCGTTATGAGTATTAGATAACGGTAGGCAAAGGGGATTAGTAAAATGATAATATGTTGTCCAATGAAGTGTAGGCATTAAAACATGTTCATCTACAAAACTACGTGTGTCGTTAGTGTCGTGAGGGGTGTTTAAAGTATACTGTGGAAATGAAGGTAGGGTGATCGCTAGGAAATTTTTC